ATGAAAGAAAATACGCTCTAGACTTAAGAAAGAGTACCTGGAAAGGCCTTGAGAGGGACAAAGAGCTGGAGGCCTTTGAAGAACTGAAAAATAGGGCCAGTGAGGAGGGAGCTTAGAAAGCAAAGGGGAGCATTGAGAGAGATTTGGTTGAGATGCACGTAGGAACCAGATCACTGAGAGTTTCGTACACCATGTTCTAGAAATTGGCTTTTATTGTAAGAACAGTATTGTGTGGGAAGCCACTGATTTTAAGAAGAGCATTGGCAAGCTACTGTCATCCTAGTGGCATAGATTCAAGATTGCAAACCTCAAATGGGGAAACTAGGTAGGAGTCTATTCTGTTAGTCCAAAGGACAGATGTTTCATATTAAACATTGTATTGGAGAGAAGGAACAGAAGAGTTTCATATTTAGGAGCAAAAATAGGCAGGATTTGCTGAATGATTATATGGGACTAAAAGGAAGAGGCTGGCACTAGAATTATTTTCACCTTTTTGGCTTGAGGTTTTTCCTCTGGGTCCATAGTGGTCTTCAAAACACTCCACTTCCTAAAGTCCCCATTTTTGTCTACAAATTCTTCATAGTATTGTCTCCCACTTATTTTATACAAGTTACTGTACATACATTATTTCCAGTCCTCACAGTGACCACAGAGTTATCATTCCTATTGTATTAGACAGAGAACTGTAGACTCAGAAAGACGAACTAATTTGCCCAAGAAAAGAAAGCTTGTAATTATCCAAGTTTGAGTTTAAAACTCATATATCTGATCTTTCAATAGCAATATACTGCCTTCTATTTTATTTTCTTCCCTTCTCTTTGAATCTACAAATGCCTGTCCTGTCAGTCAGCCATCATTACTATAGTGCTTATGCATTTGTTAAATACCTTCTTCTCTTCCCTGAGGTCAGCATCTCAAAATTCCAAGGCAAACAGTATTTTCATCAAACCCCAAATATATATCATATGTGTCCACTAAAAATCCTCCCTTGTCACTCATACTAGATTCATTCAAGACTTAAATTTTCTTAAGCTAATATCTTATGTGGATTGCCACTCTCTTTCCTTATTTGTCAAGAGACTTTGGCCCTCTAGTTATGGCATCTAGACCAGTGCTGTCCAATATAGAACATTCAGTGATGATAGAAATGTCTTATGTTTGTGATTTCCAGTATAGAAGCCACTAGCTACTTTTGGCTATTGAACATTGGAAATGTGAACAGTGCCACTAAGGAACTGAATGTGAAATTTTATTTAATTTAATGATTTTAAATCTAAATCTGATTAGCTACATATAGCTAGTGGCTACTCTATTGGACATTATAGCATATCTAACCAGGGGCTGGGAAACTCTTCTTGAAGGGCCACATAGTAAGTATCTTAGGCTTACAGTTCATGTAGTCTCTGTTACAACTATTCATTTCTGCCATTGTGGTTCAAAAGCAGCCACAATGTAACAGACAATTTGTAACAAGTGTGGCTGTGTTCCAATAAAACTAAAATTATAAAAACAGGTGCAGAGCCATGGGCCATAGTTTGCCAATCCCTGAGAATTTTTTGTTAGGCATATTCATCTCATCCTGACAACAGCCCTGTTAAGTAGGTATGATCATTTCCCTTACTTTATAATTTATACTGTGGGATGCTATTATATGTCTCTGTGTGTATATGCTTTGAGATAGTGTGTGTGTGTGTGTGTGTATGATTAGAGTCATCCTGTAACAAAGGAGATAAGACTGAGGCATGTGTGTATTTAGCAAGCTTCCCTAATAATTCTGATCTATAGCAGTGTTTGGGAACCAGTTACTTACTTTGTTTTTTTAAATCACTTACCCTCATTATGTGTCCTTCCTTCTAGGTCTCCTTTTCTCGTCCATGTTTCAGAAATTCAGTTTAATTCTAATGTTTTAATTGAAGTTTCATTTCTCTCAAACAAGAGAAATGTGAGTGATTGCTTGCTTTCATATTTTCTTTCAGTCCTGGAATCAAGATGTGAGAACAAGAAACTATTTCCGAAGAAGGAAATTTATGAAATAGAATCAGCCCAGTGGGAGATAATGGAAAGACTTACAAGACATGACCTTCAGTGCCCTAGTTTCAGAGATGATTGGGAATGTAATGGCCAGTTTGAGAAACAACATGGCTCTCAGGAGGGACATTTCAGTCAACTAATATTTACTCAAGAAGACATGCCCACTTTCAGTCAGCATTCATCCTTTACGTTACAGAAAATCATTAATAATAAAGAGAAATACTGTACATCTGAAGAATATAGGAAAACCTTTAGGCATGACTCACAATTTACTACACATCAGGTAATTCATACTACTGAGAAACCCTATGAATGTAAGGAATGTGGAAGGGCCTTTAGACATCCCTCAAGACTTGCTCATCATCAGAAAATTCATACCGGCAAGAAACCCTTTGAATGTAAGGAATGTGGAAAAACCTTTATCTGTGGCTCAGACCTTACTCGACATCACAGAATTCACACTGGTGAGAAACCCTATGAGTGTAAGGAATGTGGAAAGGCTTTTAGTAGTGGCTCCAACTTTACTCGACATCAGAGGATTCATACTGGGGAGAAGCCTTATGAATGCAAAGAATGTGGGAAGGCCTTTAGTAGTGGTTCTAACTTTACTCAACATCAGAGAATTCATACTGGGGAGAAACCCTATGAATGTAAGGAATGTGGCAATGCCTTTAGTCAGAGCTCACAACTTATTAAGCATCAAAGAATCCATACAGGTGAGAAACCGTATGAATGTAAGGAATGTGAAAAGGCTTTTCGTTCTGGCTCAGACCTTACTAGACATCAGAGAATTCATACTGGGGAGAAACCCTATGAATGTAAGATATGTGGGAAAGCCTATTCTCAGAGTTCACAACTTATTAGTCATCATAGAATTCATGCTGGTGAGAAGCCCTATGAATATAGGGAATGTGGAAAGAACTTCAATTATGGCTCACAACTTATTCAGCATCAAAATTTGTACTGGTGATAAATCAAAATACATGAAATATTTAGGAAGAATTTATCTTGTTAATAATCCCTCTAGATAGAATAATGTAGAAACATTTTATTTGTTGACTCAGCTTATTCAGCCGAAG